AGAGCCTGGTGAACACGCAGAGATTTTGGAAGAAAGTCGCGCTCAGAAAGGGCATGGAAGCTCCACCCCCTTCCATATACCGTGCCCTATGCATCTCTTCCATTTGACTGTTCCTGAGTTGTTTCTTTTATAATAAACCAGCAAACATAAGTAAAGTGTTTTCCTGAGTTCTGTGAGTCATTCCAATGAATTATCGTACCTGAGGAAGGGATTGTAGGAATCCTCAAATTTGGTCAGTCAGAAGTACAAGTGACCCATGGGCCTGGTGACTGGTATCTGAAGTAGAGGTAGTCTTGTGGGACTGAGCCCTTAACTTAGGGGGTCTGAACTTACTCCTGGAGTTACTGTCGAAATTGACTTGTTGGATATCCAGTTGGTGCTGGAGAATTGGTATGAAAAGACAACACGTATTTGGTGTCAGAAGGAATCTCAGAGGCCTCTTCTTCCATAAAAAAATATTAAAAATTATGTTTTACAACTACATTAGTATAAAGACTAATGTAATCCAAGCAAGTATACTTATTTTTTTCTTATGGTTTTAAAGATTTAAAGCACTTTTGTGGGACCCTAAAACTATTGTGGTCTTCACCTAACACATAAAAATTAACTCAAAATGAATCATAGACCTAAATATGAGTTAAAACTATAAAACACTTACAAGAAAACTTAGGAGTAAATTTCTATGACTTGGGGTTAGGCATAGCTTTCTTAGATATGGATCACACATATATTATTGGTAGGAATGGTTTAGCCACTTTGGAAAATAGTTGGCAGTTCCCTTGAAAACTGAAAATGTACTTACTGTACAACTCAACAGTTGCATCCTTGGACATTAATCCCAGATAATTGAAGACTTATTTTCACACTAGAGGTTGAACAAGAATGTTCATAACAGCTTTATTTATAAGAGCCCCAAACTGGAAACTATCCACATCTCCTTTAATGGATAAATGGCTAAACAAACTGTTATACATCCAGACCATGGAATACTACTCAGCAATTAAAAAACAAAACTATGGGGGGCTGGCCCGGTGGCACAAGCGGTTAAGTGCATGCGCTCCACTGCAGTGGCCCAGGGTTCGCCGGTTTGGATCCCGGGCGTGCACTGATGCACCACTTGTCAAGCCATGCTATGGTGGCGTCCCATATAAAGTGGAGGAAGATGGGCAGGGATGTTAACCCAGGACCAGTCTTCCTCAGCAAAAATGAGGAGGATTGGCAGATGTTAGCTCAGGGCCAGTCTTCCTCACAAAAAAAAAAAAAACCTATGAATACACACAACAACTTGGATAAACCTCATGGACCTTATGCTGAATGAAAGAAAACAATCCCAAAGGATGCTTATTGCATGATTCCACTTATGTAACATTAGTGAAATAACATAATTACAGAGATGGAAAATAGACTAGTGGCTGCCAGGGGGTTAGGGATGCAGAGAGAGGATGGTTCTTACCAATGTCAATTTCTTGGTTTTGATATTGTGTTATAGTTTCATAAGACATTAACTTTTGGGGATACTGGGGAAAGGATGCATGTGACTTCTTTACACATTTCTTTGCAATCTCCTGTAAATCTACAATTTCTTCAAAATGAAAGTATGTATATATATTTTTCATATATATACACACATATGTATATCTGAAAAGTATACTTGTGTGTGTTTGTGTATATATATATGATGCAATATATCAAAATTTGTGGGGAGAGGGACATCAGCAAAATGGCAGAGTATGCAGCTTCAGACTCCCACACTTCCACAGAAACATTGGAAAAACAACCAGAAACTGTCAGACCGACATTGTCAGAACTCTGGAAAATAGTCAGAGGTTTACAGCAACCAAGCAAATCCTGAATCAAAAAAAAGGCAACTTAAAAAACGGTAAGAAAACTTTATGACATTTTTACTTGCCCCTGCCCTACTCCCTCCCTGACTCAGCAGCAGTCTTGAAGCTTGCAGCCCACCTTCCCAGGGTGGAACCCTGGTTTCTGGCAATCATTGTGTTTTTATGTTCTAATCTGTCTGGGGGCTAGCTGAAAGACTAATGCAAGACACTCATCTCTGTTTTGCCTAACCTGGAACCCACAACAGCAAAGCAGCAGGCATTTCTTGAAAACACTGTAAGGTGAACAATCTGCAATTGCCTGGGGCCGAAGGTACAGTTGGTACATACACTAGACCACCTAAAGCCTGGGAGAGAAATTCACTGGAAATTGGGACACTCAAATTCAAAAGTACTCGTGAACACAAGGGCATTTAGAAAGCCACACACATGCCTGAGACAAGATGCATGCTCAGGAAAGACTGAGAAGATCCTAAGATTCCACCACTGGCTGACCTATACGCTCAGTGCAACCAGGAAGTGAAGAGTGAGGAAGAATTTCAAATGGCCTGACTAAGTATTAAAGGAATACCCACACACAGAGCCAAACTGCAAAGATTGGGAAGGGTGTTGTTCTTTTTTTTTTAAGTTCCCGTTGTTCAAGGATATCTCAGTAAAAACA